CCCGGAGGAAATGCCTAGGGTGGAGGAGGTGATGCCAAGGGATCAGGGTGCAACCTGGTGGACTTTGATGGCTGGCCTGGCCTGGGTCTCTTGACTTTAATAGGGACAAAGCTGTGTCTTCAAGTTCCTGTAAACACAGGGAACTCCAGAACTATGAAAACTCAGACTCACAACAGCCTCTGTGTGCCAAGCAGGGACATCAGAATCTGGAATTTTCCACCCCTGATTTCCAGTTTAGAAAACCTAGATGTGGCTGCTCTAGAGAGGGCTCCTCTCAAACAGGTCTCAGTGCTTCCTTTTACAGGGAGTTTTATTGTTCAAAAAGCTATCTTACATCCTCTTTCTTTTTCCTGTCTCTCTGTCATTCTGTCTGTTTCCCTGACTGTCTGTCTCTCTTTCATTTTTTCCCTTAGGAAGCAGTGTGATGCAGTTAGAAGCAATGGCCTTTAAAGATGGGCAAGTCTAGGTTTGAATTGTGGCTTTTCCACTTGATAGGTGAGGCACTTTGGGCACGTTTCCTAACCTCTTGGATTCTCAGTTTCCTCATCTGTAAAATGGGTATATTAATATTTTAATCATGGAGCTGCAAAGTTTGAATCAGGTAATATGCACAATACACATAAGAACTTGGCACATAGTGGGTGCAGAATAAGCCGCTATTGCTCATTCATTTGTTCAGTGTTTATCTGGTAGCTACTGTGGTACAGGCCTTGGGCTCAGCACTGTGTCATAATGCTGATCCCCAAAATGCCCCTTTCAAGTCTTGGGCAGGAATTAGTGTCCCCATATTCCCAACTCCAGCATGTGGTGAAAATGGCTCCCCTCAGGGAGGATCTGGAAAGTGATCCCAGGTCTAGACGTGGGTCTAGATGCTGCCTAAGTGATGCTTCCAAGGACCCAGGCCCTCTCTTTTTGCCGTATTTTCCTCTTGGAGTTTCCTTGTTCAGTTCCATTGAAATGAAAAATGACATTGTGCCTACTTCAGTGTGGCAGGTCCTGGGCTAGGTCCTACAAAGGACCATCAAGTTGAGTAAGTTGTGGGCCTTGGTCAGTCTGATGGTGCCCACAGGATGGCAACTGAGACGGTCATGGGACAAGACCTGCCCCAGCAGGAATGTCCGCAGGGGCCAATCTCTTTAGCGTGCTGGTAAAAGACTCAGTGTGCCTCCTAATTTCTGAAGCCTGTCATAGGAAGGAGGAATTACATGTTATTTTTGGGTCCCCTGGAGGCAGAACCAGGGCCCAGGGTAGAAACACCATGAAGCGTATTTTGTCTCATTAAAGGAATGGAGCTTTTTAACATCTTCAGGTGTCCTTCAGTAGAAAAGGTTCTCTGGTAATCGGAGCAAGCTCCATCTCTGGGAATGCTCAGGCAAGGCTGGATAAACACCCACCAGGGTGTTGTAAAGGGAATGCCTGATTTGGGTGGGAGCTTTGATGGGATGACCTCTAGGCTTCCTAGTAGTAGCTCCATGATGCATGGGTTCTAAGTTTCCATTGTCCACTCACACCACCTTCCCCTGGATGCCTGCCAGCTTCCTCCCTCTGGGGCTCACCCTGCAGCTTACCTCACTCCTTCCTGAACCCAGCTCTGGAACCTTGCCATGGCAACTTACCAACCCAGGTCCAAAGTGTCAGGCCACCGGGGCACGAGTGAAGTAGATTTCAGTCTGTGTTCTGGAAGGACAATTTAGTTTTGTTATCGAATCGGCCCCTTTTAAGTCTTCCCCTTTTGGGTATTTGAGTTTTCTTTTCTAGATTTATATTTCACAACATTTCATATAAAAAGATACACCAGCATCTGTTACTGTACTTTGAAGCTTGATTATTTTGGAAAATCTACAATCATAGTAGCTCTAGAGTCAAGTTGCTAAATTCAAATCCTAGCTCCTCTATTTATTATTGGTGTTGTCCTGGCCAAGCCTTTTAATCTCTCTGAGCGATTAATATCTTAATATCTGTAAAACAAGGTAATAATAATAATATCTACTTCACAGGGATGCTGTTAGACTAAATAGATACTAACTTCCAAAGAACTTGGAACAATGCTGGCACATTGTTTTCAATAAATGCTAATGGTAAGTAATAATCATTAAATAATTATTTTGTTCACCACCCTTCATTTGCTTTTTTGGTGTTAATTCTAGAACCATTTCTTGCACATTTTTTTAAATTTAAGTTTTTAATTCATTTTGAACTGATTTTTGTATATGATGTAAGAGAGGAGTCTGGTTTCATTCTTTGGTATTTGTCCAATTTTCCCAGTATCATTGTTTTTTAATTTTTAAAATTTAAAAAAAATTTTTGCGGGGGAGGTAATTAAGTTTCTTTATTTATTTTTTAGCAGAAGTACTGGGGATTGAACCCAGGACCTCCTGCATGCTAGATGTGAACTCTACCACTGACCTATACCCTCCCCTCCTTTGCACATTTTAGAAATCAGAGTAATACCAACTTTGAAATGGTTCTAGAAGTTACCAAATTCAGCCCTTCTTTTTGCTGCTAAGGAAATTGAGCCTCAGTGGGTGAAGCTACTTACTCATCTAGTGGCAGAGCCAGGAAGAGGGTACAGGGGTCTTTGCTCTTGTCTGCTGGCTTTCTATACATCACAGTTCTCTGATGAGGATTAATTAATTAAGGATGACCATATTTTTCTGCTAGTTTGCTTAAAAAAAATCGCAAGCATGTAATTAAATAAATAAATACTGAAACCTTGCCAATAAGATTTGTTGTTTAAAGAATTGGAAGCAGGAAAATGGGATTTATACACTACTTTCCGTCTCTGTGTTTTGGAGGACTTTGGATGTTGGCTCCCAGGGGTCCAGTAGCCCTGCCTCCCTCCCCTACCCAGCCCTCCATGCCTCTTGGGGAGCAAGGATCAGCCCCAAGATAACCTCATGCCTCTTCTCAACAGCCCTCCTACTTTACTTCTTAGAATACCAGTTCCAGAGCCAGTGCTCTCAGCTTGTGTGGTTTAAATTATTGACGGATGTGCTGCCAAACTTTTTTCAAAGTGTGTAAAATTTATTTTTGCTTCAGCTGCGCATCACACTACGGCAAAGATGCCTGCAGGGGAGAACTCTGAGCTAAGTGGATGGTGTGATGTCCTGCAGAGTGGGGTCACTGGCTGTGAAGAGGTGTGCTGTGATGCTGAGGCATTCCAAGAAAGGCTTTACTAGAATAGCTGGCGACTTTGTTTTGGGAATTTATCAGAAAGCATGATCAGGGCAGAGCCAAGTTCAAGTCAGCTTTCACCTCAGGACTGAGGGGCCCTGAATGAACATGGAGTTCTGACTGCCCTGTGGAGAGACCTTGCTGAACAACCCCGGACCCGTCCGTGCACATTGCCCGCGTTACTGGTTTCAAGTGTGCTGCCCCAAATTCCAGAATTTGAAAGTGTACTGTGAGCAAAAATGTCTGAGAGCCATTGTCCTCAGCATGATATGGAACAAAGTGTTCCCTGGTGATGTAATTTTGTGCAATACTAGGTTGAACAAAGTTCAGTCACTGCAGGATTTCTCAGCGACTTTAATGTATTAACGTATGTGGTAACTTTTCCAGATCAGCTGTAGAATGCAGCATTTATGCATCTCTTTTGGTCACAGAGCTATGTTTGTCTTTCCAAAAACGTATGTGGGGACTAGAGTTATGAGGAAGTACTGTGGCAGATACTGTTCCAGAAGGATTTCACCTTCCCTTTGTTGGAGTGAAGTGTGAAGACTTACACGGGTTGTTAATTCAAAGGCTCGCTGTCACTGGGTGCTAGATGACTGTCAGCTGATTTCCTCTTGCCTAAATGTCAGCTGGCATAGACCTTGACTCAGTCCAGCCCAGCAGAGCCATCCTGCCCCACTCCCCCAGGTAGGGGTGCGGGCTCCTCAGCACACCCTACGTTAGACGCTTTGACTGGAGTGGAGCAGGAACTGTGTGTGTGCATGTTGCTCATTCTCTGAGCCAGCCCCCAGGTTTGCGAGGGAGAGGATGGGTCCCGGCATGGAGACCTCAGGCTTCTAGCACCTCTCACCACCTAAAGAAAACAACTAAAATTCTTCACCCGGGATCCTAAACCCTCTTGGTCCAGCTGCAGGACACCCATTTATCGCCTGCCCCTCTCTACTTCCTTCTGAGATTTGGAGACTCGCCTCTCCTGCCCTGTTCTCACTTCTCTCCTCCTCTTTTCCACATTTCCGTCTCTCCTTCCACATTCCGAGTATCATTTACTGAGGATGATTTTAGCAGTAATGAAATCATCAGCACTATCAATACTAATGAGTTGCTGGTTATAGTTTCCGACAGAAAAATCAGGACACATGGTCTGATAGTCCCCAGTTGACCCAGGGTGTGAGGAAAGACTTTGGCTCTGAGAACCTTGAGGCACTTCTAGTATACTCTAGAGCGCTTAGACTATTCTCTCTCCCTTAACAACCAAAAAAGTTCTATTCCACCAGGGACAAATACCCGGAAGCCGCATTGTTAGCAGCGTAGCCACAGGCCACCCACCCTCTGCCCTTCCTCACCTTCACATCCCCAGGGACACTGCGCAAACAAAGAGTTGTGTCTGGAAAGAGCTGAGGGTGGGCTGACACAGAGAAGCCTGGAAAACTGGAATGGGGGGTCCAGGAATGGGATGAGGGGGTGGCTCTACCTGCTGGAAGTGGGGGGTCATGAGGAGGAACTCCTTACCATCCCTTCTGAGGAGTCAGAAATCAGGTCCTCTAATCTCCTCCCGCCTCCAGCCTGAGCTCACCCCCTCCCCACTCCACCTGCCCGATCAGGAAATCACCTCCAATGAGGAGGAGGCCACCCATCATTTTCTCAGAACTCTTAGGATTGTCAACCACCATCTCCCTCCCTCCGTCCCTCCTTCCTTCCCGATAAATGTATTTTCTTCACCGGATTGACCTTACTCTTTCCTCCTCCCTCCCTGGACCTTCTTTCAGGGGTTCTGCAGCACCCCCAGTTTCTTCTCTTCTCTGGCTCCTTGTCCATCGGACCTACAGGCAGAGAAGAGAGGCTGCTGCTGACTACACTTCTGACCTCACTCGTTTTTGACTCTCCTCTGCCACCACTCTGGCACTGAACCTGCTTTTTTATGACTAACCAGTGACTTCCTGGGAGCTCTTTTCCTTTTTTTATCCTATTTAACTCCCTCAGGGAATTAAAATTTAGTAAAACATTTAATTATAAGAAATACCAAAAAAAAAAAACCCACATCTGTTATTGTAAACAATCCAAACACTGAAGAAGTACGTGGAGTAGAAGTGAAACCCAACACCTCTCCCCGACCCCCATCCCCATGCTATGCCATTCCCCAGAGGTAACCACTATAGACAGTTTGGTAAAATTCCTCTATACTGTTGCTGGTTTATAAAGTTTATAAAGTTGGGATCATTTTAACATACCCTTCTGTAATTGGCATTTTCGTGTAACGCTATGCTGCACATGTCTTTTCATGTGAGTATATATGGATACATATCACTAAAAATGTCCAGTGTTCTATTAGATGGCTATATCATAATTCATTTAGTCAATCCCCCCTCCCTCCCTTCTTTCTTTCCCTCCCTCCCTCTTTCTTTTCTTCCTTCCTTCTCTCTCTTCTCTTCCCTTTTCTTTCTTCCTTTCTTTCTTTCTTTCTTTCTTTCTTTCTTTCTTTCTTTCTTTCTTTCTTTCTTTCTTTCTTTCTCTTTCTTTCTTTCTTTCCTTTCTTTCTTTCTTTCTTCCTTTCTTTCTTTCTTTCTTTCTTTCTTTCTTTCTTTCTTTCTTTCTTTCTTTCTTTCTTTCTTTCTTTCTTTCTTTCTTTCTTTTCTTTCTTTCTTTCCTTCTTCCTCCCTCTCTCTTCTTCTTTCTTTCTTTCTTTCTTTCTTTTCTTCCCTTTTCTTTTGTTTTCTTTCGATGAATGCTGAGGTTGTTTCCATTTATTTATTTACTTATGTACTTGTGTCTTCATTCATGCATGATCCCATTACAAACAATCCTGTGATGAACCCCTTGTACCTATGTCTTTGCACACTTGTGCTCAGAGTACTGGACACTGGTAATCATTCTCTTTTTTGACACTTCTTGCACCTCCAAGTTCTATCTTGGTTCTCTTCTTCCCTAGCGAACCGCTCTTTTCCCTGAGCACACAGTGTACATTCACATCTTCTTGCTTTTGTCCAAAGTTTCTCCTCCTGAAATGACCACTTCCTACTCATTCTTCTTACCCCAGTCTTGTGTAGAATCACCTTGAGTCCCTAGACTAGTCCTTCCTAATGGCTTCCATTTAGCAGCACATACTATGTGCTGGAGCAGACGTTTTGTCCTCCCATCCCACAACCGTGGGGTGAGGCATTTAAAGGTGATTAAAAATTGAAGCTCAGAAAGTTAAGGAATTGTTCAGCTCATTCAGCTCATTAAATGGAGGAGCCAGTATTCAATCTCAGGCCTCTCTTGCTGGACAATTCATGGACTTACATAAGCACCAAATTACATTACATCTTCTGCTCTGCTACTCAGAGGACCTCACATGTGCAAGGACTATGGCAACTACCAAGTTCAGTGGTGGGAACTCTCAGGTTGCTCACAAGTTTGTTGAGACTGGGAACTCCCTGAGGGTAGACCCCATGTCTCTTCTTTCTGCATTTCCCGTATTGAGTACAGAACCTGTTTTATCATAGGTGCTGATACAGATTTGAAAGGGTGAAACCTGTATTTGCTGAATGAGGAGTTCCAGGACGCCCTGAACTAGGTCAAGAGACACACACTTCAGCACTCAGTAACACATGCTGAACTTGAAGTTTATTTCCTGCTAATTCATGAAAATAAAATACTCTACTCCCAGAGCCCTAATTAACTAAATTACAAGAAGCTCTTCAGATTGGCAGCTGGGAGAACATAATGATATAAGAAATAGTCTCTGAAGTGTGATGGCCTATTTTCTGATCCCAGCTCTGCCATGTATTAGGCAAATTATTCAATTTCTATAATCCTCAGTTACCCAACTAGTAAAATGGAGCTAATGAAAGTTTCTTAGAGCTAATCAGGTTATCATGAGGATTAAATGAGAACGTTGATAGGAAACACTTGGCATAGCAACTGGCATACAGAAGGCACTCAATAAATGTTAGTTGCCCTCTTGTCAAGAGGACCCATATTAGCCCCTCTTAGTCTTTGCTCAAAGTGAAATAGGTCAACCACTCATTTCTCTTAATGCCTTCAAAGCTTTGACTAGGATGATTTTTTTAAACTTTCAATTTCCACACACAAAATATTCTCTTTCTGGCTCTTACTTGTAAAACAAACATTTACTGAGTGCCTGCTGTTTACTATAGTCCTTTCTGGTTGGTCCTTCAGCTGTTGGGGAAAGTCTACAGGAGAGGGGATAAGCATTGTCCAGGTTAGCAGCCTATTGGAGGGTAAAGTTCTCTTGCTTTGCACTGTTGAGAATGTTACTTGATTCTCTGGAAAACACACTTCTCTTCTTTTTTTCGAACTTCAAGGATTTGTTTTAAAATATTTTCTCATGCAAGTCGGAAGGTTTTGTACCTTGATGCACAAAGGAATGGTTAGGTAGTTTTTAGAATCTGATTCATAGAGGTGCCTGTGTTGTCTTTGTTGTTTGAGACAAAAAGTTTTCCTGTGTCAGCAGGTCCTGAAGGTGACTTTAGGTACCGACATCTGTTTTGTGACTCTGCGCATGCTTTCTACTCATGTCCAGGTATTTATTTTTCAGACAGGTTGTTGTTGTTTTGTTTGGGCTGAACCAAGTCTTTCCAAGGACTGTATTTGGGAAGGACCCTACCCCTGGCTATCAAAACCAAAACAAATGAAAAAGAAAATCCCCAACCCCTGACTCAAATCCCAACAAAAGCAAATGATTCAGTACAAGCAAGCGTTCCAGACCCGATACATGGATTATTCAATTCCAGAACTACATGTTCCCAGAGCACCATGGATGCCTACTATTTTAATTAAGGCACCTCAAAAGGAGGAAATTCCATAGTACTGCCATTAACTCTGAAACTTGGATTTTCTTTCTTTGCATCTAACATGGGTATCTCTTATTGCAGACAAAGGGGTCCCTTTTCCTGGTGACATCTGCTCAGGAAATCCAGCTTCAGGAATGCAAGGAGATGGGGGAAGGGAAAGGCTCACTTCTCTTTTTTGGTGAGTGTGTGAAGTAGGCGTGGCTTCACGTTTTGCAAGCACCTGGCTGCTTACACTGAGATACCTGTACTGTCAGGGGACAGGCCTCCTAAGTACCAAGTACTACCAAGTACTCCTGGAAGCTCCCAGTGGCTGGGTGCTTTTTCTCACTCCCAGGGGTCTACTGGATGCTTCTTCTTGCTCCTTGCTTCCTTGGAGCTCTGGCTGCTTTGTCAGATGCTGTTATCTGAACTGCTCTGGTGACTGCGCTACAGTCAAAGAAGACCAAGGGACGAAGAGGCCAAAACTTTCACCTTGAGCCCAAACTGTGACCTTGAACAAGCCTCTTCTCTCTCTGAGCCTCAGTTCCCTTAGCCAAGAGGGAAGGCATGTCATTCACGTGTTCCTGAGCTCTGATATTCTGGGGTTCCTGAGTCCCTTTCCAAGCCAGGCCAGTGACCTACTTGTGAGGGACAGTGAGAATGAAGCCATTGTTTGGAGTTCATGGGTGGGGTGGGTGGGGCACCTCTTAATAAACTTGACTGAGGATTGGAGCAACCTGTTTCCCTAAGCCTCTGGTGAGGGCTGAATGAAGCATGTCCCTCCTTTGGCATCACTACAGAGGCATTTGGAATGCACTTATCAGAGCATGTCAGGCTCATAAGCCTGTCACTTCCCCTCTAAAACACTGAAAATGATAAAAAGTGCACAAGATGTGGAGCCCAGATGATCCTCTGATTAAATCAGTGTTTCTACTCTGTTCTCTCTGGGGCTCCTGTCTGAGGGAACACCTCCTCTGCCAATTTGAAAGACTTTTTAATACAGTTTTCCCCCTGAGTGATTTTGTCCTTGACAGGGACTGTGGGAGGGCCCACGGGGATTTCAAAAGCTTAGTGCTGAACGAATTCCGAGCCCTAATGATTCTGAGAGCCCGTGTATTTAGGGAGGCAGTGGCAGGGAGTCTGGGGCTGGAAGTCAAGAGACTTGGGCTCCAGTACTGGCTTTGCCACAACCTGGCTGTGCAATCATTAGCTAACTGTTCCATCTCTCTGGGTCTCTGTGTTCTCATCGACTAGCGTCTCCCTATGGTCCCTTCCTGCCCTGGCACACCATGACGCTAAACCTGAAAGGCAGAAAATCCCATCCTGGGTGTAGAACAAAGCCGGATCTACTAGCTGTTTCTGCTAGTCCACCTTTTCCCTCGTGTGGAGACATCTCTGGTCGGGAGGTGCTATTCCCTTCCCAAGCTCCTCCCCTTTGACGGTCTTTGGAATGTATCCAAGGAAATGGGAGAGAGCTGTGGATGTTTGAGGCTTAGAAGGGGCTTCAAGGAGAATCACCCAGCTATTTCAAGAACATCTCCTACCCTTCTTGCCTGGGGGGGAGGTACTTGGCAAGTTTAGGCATCAACATTTCGTAGAGGTTAAGAGCACTGGTTTCAGAGTTAGCCAGATCTTTTTTCATATCCCAGCCTTGCCAGTCATTTCAGTTCATTATTCAGCAAATATTTATCAAATGCCTATTTTGTGCCAGGCACTGCGCTAGGCTATTTTGCATACATTAACATTTAATCCTCACGCCCTATGAAGCAGGTACTAATTTTATCCACACTTCAGACAAGGAAACTGAAACTCAAGGAAGCAATGTGACTTACTCAAGGTCACACAGCTAGTCAGTGGCAAACCTGGGGCTTGAATCCAGGTCTAGGAGCTCCAGAACCATGGCTCTCAGCCACAACCCTCTGCCGTTTCCCAAATCTTATTTTATTTAATCCTCATTTAAATCCTCACTTGCTTTATTACAAAACTTCCACCTCAGTGCTCCAGAAAAGCCCCTGTGAGTTTGCCAGTCCACATCATGGATTAACGAGCAGTTCCACTTCTGAAGGAG